TTTGAAATGTAGCTGTTCTTCGCCATCAAACATACTTTAATCTCGCGATTATTTCAGATCTACGTTTGCTGGAGACGATTGATAAGTGGCAGTTTCACGCTTCTTCTCAGGACTGGGAGAGCAGGAATTCGGTGTTCCGCGATTTCTTCAAAGCAGGATATCGACAAAATATCGCCCTGGTGGCAGACATGTACCGTCAAGTATTCACTATTAATAATAATCAAGATCAAGGTAAGAGATAGAAGAAGAAGAAGACAACTTATTTTAACACCTCGACACTTGTTTCGATCACCAAGTGATCATCTTCAGGAGTAAGATCAAACTGTTTGATTTTCCATGCAAATAACTTTGCAGGATATAAATAAATACCTTATTTATTTATAAATACCTTTTTATGCATGAAGTGGTAGTTAATTGGTTTCGTTTAAATTTTTCTTTTTAGTTTTTCTGGAGCTTTTCAAGAGCATGCTGATTTCGTTGATCAATGAAGAGAATGTAACGTTGTTGAAGGCTTTCAATTCCGAAATTTTCCACCGTAAAATGGAGAAGAACATTTTACGTGCCTTCGCCATAGTTATCAGCGAGAAGATTCCTAAGGAGGAGAAGTTCGCTTTGTATGAGACCTGTTGTAAGAAGGGCATTTACGAGTTTTATTCGGTAAGTGACTTCAGTTTAATTCGTTTATTAACTTTTTTGCCATAAAATATTCTAAAAGATTGAGTTTATAACTTTTCTTTTCTAAATGTAACACTTGTATTTATACTGACATGTTCTATGGCCTCAGGGGTACTGTATTTTTATCCTGAACAAATAAATTTTATCTATCTATCTATCTAGCAACATAATAAAAAAGGAATGTTTAAGAGTAGCTAATTTCGCCATTTTTCACAGCATAAGGACATATGGACTGATAGTTTAGGGTTCATCATGTCATCTAGATGTAATATTTAAACTACAAAAAAAAGTAGTGAGATTTATGGCACAGGCTAAATAGGACGATCATTGTAAACCTTTTTTCAAAAATCTCCGTATATTAACTCTGCGATCTTGCTTCATATATGAATACTGCCTATTCAGGATGTTTTAGAAATCGAGCAAGGTAAATTTGCATACAAGGTTATACATAAACAAGTCAAATGTAATACCATCTTCACATTCGTTAATCAGCTCTACAAATACAATACTCGTACCCATTATAGTGTCTTTTTAGAACCTGTACGTACTAATGTTGGCTTAAATAATTCCATAATACTATGCATGAAATGAAGCATTATCTTGGGCAGTCATTAATACAAAAGGCCTACTATAAATTGGAGGAATATTTTGAAGATAGTCCTTTATAAATTTACGATTTCAATCTACTTGAATAATTTCATCAATGTTCTGCTGCTGGATGAACTAGCCTAGTGGGGTATCTTGCATAAATGTCTTTTGGATATAATTCAATATACAGCGTGGTATTAGCCAGGGAAGTATAGTTTTTCGACATACGTTTACCACAGCCTGCTGTATAGGTATTTGGGAGAGATTATTATTTCAAAATTCATTTCTAAATATTTATTTTCTTACATGTTTCAATCTGTAATCTCAGTTCATAAGCTATTAGGGTTGCCTCTTTTGGCTTTTCTCTTCTCTTCATTTATCTATAATCCGTTTATATTATTGACATGTTCTACACCCGCTTGGCTAATATGTATTGTACACTTGAACGAATGAAGAATATCTATGTATCTATTTATAAGATGGTGGTAAATTATCTCAGTTATTATTAAAAAACTGATTATTTTTGAAAACTTTGCCACCCTGTATCTCAAAAGTTAAGGCGTTTAGGACAGACTTCCATAGAAAGTTTTTTCCTTAAAATGGGTCTAAGAATTACCTCCTTAAATATTAGCATGTGTTTAAGGAACACCCTGTATATACTTAGTTAAACCTGTAAATGTTTTTAACTGTTGGGTAATAAAGGCTATTATTATTATTATAGGGTGATGAGAGTAAAACTCAATTATTTTTTTTCAGACGCGAATACTCCTGCGCAACAACATGACTGATGCAGAGCTGAAGCTCGTCTTCGATTACTATCTCCACAAAGTCTCCTTGGGAAACATTCCACCTCTTACGGACGTGATCATCAGCATCAAACTGCCCCAGGGCTCGAACCCCAAGTATCCCCTGATCCTAATGAAACCCGTCCGGAGTTTTACTGACATCAACAAGGCTGTGACAGAACTGTTGCACCGCCACTACAACATCGTGGCTACGGAAGATGGCAACACTGGCTTCATGAGAATATCGGTCGAACAGCTGGGGAATTGGCTGATTAGGGAAATGTCTTCAAGGTGTTAGAGGTCGGGTTTGCCATTGTGAAGCCTAGCGGCTTGGGGGTTTGTGGATTTGTTCGTTTGCAAAGCGCGAATTTTGAGGCAAACAACAAGGAAAGATCGGTTCATTTCGTTTTTAACTCGGAAAGAAGCAGGTGAATTTTGATGCATAATAATTGAATAATTTTTATACAGTGAACTTTGATCAAGACGCGTTTCACTACATAGTAGTTTCTTCAGTTGAACTGGTACCTTAACCTAGTTTATATTCTATTTTATTGAAGTTACAGAGTTTGAACAGAGTGATCAACTTCTTTTTGGTTGTTCAATTGGGAAATTGACTGGTTTTGTTAATTCAAATTTCCAGTAAATCTAATAGGGTTAATTATTGCCCTTCATTTTCTTTATGTAATATTTTTTAGTCCACTTTGAAATGTGGCTGTTCTCTAAAAGGTGACATACTCAGATGGAATTGGGCGTTCTTTAGTCCAAAACTCGTTTTGTGTTCTTAAATTCTCGTTTTGAAATTTCTACATGTTCTTCCTATATAAACTTTTGGGCACGATCCACATGCCAGTTTATAGACACCTGATTTGTTGTCCTTATCACAACAAATCGAACGTTGAAAAGGACAACAAATTATGTCTACTAACTGGCATGTGGATCATGCCCAAAGGTGTACATAGGAAGAACATCTTGAAATTTCAAAACGGGAGTTTTAGAACACTGAACGAGTTTCAAACTAGAGAACAACGATTCTTTCTACCTGTGCTTGCCACCTTCTAGAAGACAACAACAATTTCCTACGATATTTTTTCTTAGTCG